AGAGAGAGAAAGAGGAGCTCCTGTATAGCAGGAGGGACCCTGGGAGCGGGCATTCAGGGTCACTGACTTAGAGTTAATACGCTTTACTAGGTGGAGGCATGGGGGAATGAGCTGAGTCCTGTCTCCAGTCCAATTGTTACGTGCCTCAAACTTTCAGCTAAGCCTTCATTTATGGTTTCCAGGAAAGGAGTGCTCATTTAGGGAAGAGAGATAAAGAAAAACGCAGACCTCCATTCTGGCATCCCCGGCCTCTGACCAAGGCAAAACCAAAGACATTTAGGCTTAAATACTTCCGGCATCTCTGACCTGTCAGTATCGCCAAGGACACTGGCAGCTTTTAGCTTAAGAAAAAGCTTTGCTTTTGGGGTCCTTTTACCCTAAACTGCCAAGCCAATTTCTGTATGCTCATCACCTTCCTACCTTGTGATCCCTGGCCTGTGGGTAGGTCCCGTGTGGAAAATGCCCTGTATCCCTTCCCCGTGGAAGCCCGTAATACAGAGACTTGCAGAACCGAAGAGAGTCAAAGGATCCGACTCTCCTGCCTCTCCCTTCAAGATCCCATCATGGCTGCCTATGGCCATGATGCATTAACTCTTCTGTTATTCTGGGAACAGAAGCAGGTCTTTCATCAGGCCCTCCATTGCCATGACAGCGCTCTCTTCTGATGGAGCTCCTCCTTAGAGCTGAGGGCTCACGTGCTCTCCCTTCGGGTCCACACTGTGGCTGCTTGGGGCCTTGGTGATACTCCTCTCCTAATGAAGCTCCTTGGAAGAGTGATTTGCCCTGGCTTCCTTTCTAGGACATCTTGTTTAACCTCAGCTGGCCTGGAGCTCACTATATAGATCAGGCTGGCCTCAGTTTTAGAGATCTGCCTCCAGAGTGCTGGGATTAAAGGTGTGTACCACCATACCTGGCTTTGCCTTCTTTTATTAATTATAACACTAAGTAATTGTGGTGATTGTGAGAATTGAACACCTTTGACCAGAACTGCCTCTCAGTGAGGGAAGTCACTTTAAATAATTTTATTCTTATGTTCTTCTTACTTTTGTAAACTGTTATACTAACATTTAATGGTTTCCCTGGTTCATGTGAGGGATTCTTTTTGGAAAATTGACATTCTTCTATTGTCCTAGGGAACTGGGGGGGGTGTGCAGCTCAGTGGCAAGGTGGTTACTGGGCATAAGGAGACCCTGGGGTCTATCTAACTGCAATACAGAAAGCGGGGGAAGGACACTTTCCTTTTATGGCTCCAAAAGTCTATTTCATCTCAAAGTGATTGTTTTGAAGAACAAGATGGATTTAAACATGTTTCTTTATGCAGGCTTGAAAAATGAAAGCATTTTTACATTTCTTCACCTTATAAACATGTAAATGGAGAACTTCATTGTTCATGTAGTAAATCAAGTACACATGAGCAAGTTACTGTGAATTTGAAGTACGTGCTAGACAGTCTCTCTTAGACCCTGGCAGAGGGGTGCTGCCAGCTGACACGCCTGTCTGGAGGTCACCCCACCAGGTCTCATTCATCTGGTCTCTGTGATGGATGAGACACAGCACTGGGCAGGATGATGATCCCCACCCATCGTGGCTTTCATTATGAAAAGCAATGCTGTTGATTATGGTCCCCTCCTTAAATGAAGCGGTTTTGAAAACATCTAACTTCCATTTCACACTTGATTTCTCTCTTATCTGTGAAATGATTTATCAGGTAGATTTGCTTGTCTAAATATTCATTTCACCAGATTTTTCTAAGGAAAGAATATCACTGCTATTATGGAGGAAAATGGTATAAAATTAGACTATAATGGTTTTTCTCTGGGTCAGAAATCTTCTCCACACATGTCACAACTAATTCTAGAAGTCATCAGAAGCAAGA